CGTCCAGAGCTCACACTGCACCTCAGTCTATCTATGATTTCATAGCAAAATAAATTTTATGAATATTATTACTTACTCTCAGTGAAATATAAAACTAATTGTCAATCACCCGCTAGCACGCCGTTCACATGTCATTTGCATCAGTCAATACAATTATACGATAATGCATGCATAACAACACGAAAAACATTTATCTGTGTGTGACTGTGCTATGTCCTTTTTAGCTTTAGCTGCATTATCGTCCAAAGCTCACACTGCACCTCAGTCTATCTATGATTTCATAGCAAAATAAATTTTATGAATATTATTACTTACTCTCAGTGAAATATAAAACTAATTGTCAATCACACGCTAGCACGCCGTTCACATGTCATTTGCATCAGTCAATACAATTATACGATAATGCATGCATAACAACACGAAAAACATTTATCTGTGTGTGACTGTGCTATGTCCTTTTAGCTTTAGCTGCATTATCGTCCAGAGCTCACACTGCACCTCAGTCTATCTATGATTTCATAGCAAAATAAATTTTATGAATATTATTACTTACTCTCAGTGAAATATAAAACTAATTGTCAATCACCCGCTAGCACGCCGTTCACATGTCATTTGCATCAGTCAATACAATTATACGATAATGCATGCATAACAACACGAAAAACATTTATCTGTGTGTGACTGTGTTATGTCCTTTTAGCTTTAGCTGCATTATCGTCCAAAGCTCACACTGCACCTCAGTCTATCTATGATTTCATAGCAAAAGCTTTATTTTGCGCGCGGGTAGTTAAGGACGATCCGAAGCTTGTGTTTGAGAACTATTTTTTATAGAATAATAGTGACAAACAGTCCACCTGACAGTAAGTGGATGCTGTGGCCCATATACACCAACATTTATCCTCGATTAGGAATCAAAATGCAAATGCGTTGTCAACTCCGAGGACTAAGATGGAAAAAGGGTCACTGGTTCTAAACACACCATATGAAAAGCAGCATTAAGCTACTATTTTACGTAGTATCCTTTGATAACGTGGTCCTACCCCGGTCGAGCCGACCCATTCGTGCTACAATCATAAAATATGTGAGCGTGGCCCTACCACGTAGGTATAATACGTTGGGATTGGCTTTTAACGATTATAGTAATTTTAATTATTAATTTTATTTTAATACTGTTATTAATTTTTTAAGACAAAACTATTATAACCATCCTTAGACGGATGTTTCCTTTATTTATATTTAGTGTAACAGTTTGTTTAAATACATGAATAAATTATTAAAAACAAAACAAAACAAATATCTATAGAATAGCTTAGTGATGCAATAATTTTGACTTGATTAGCGTAAGTGATACGTTAAGGAATCGTTTACAATAAGAATAACAGAAAAACTTTTCAATTATGAAATCCATTTAACAGTCGTTTCATTGCGACATTTGTGCTCGTCTTTCAACGCACTTAGTATTGTTATTCTATACATTATTTTTACTTACTAAGAAACAATCAACACAAATGAGTAGCACCGAACAGTTAAATCATAAATTAAATCATAAATTTTTATTTGCAAGAATCACGGTATAAAAAGATCTTACAATTTGTCTAGTGCAATCGTGTTTCGCTAACAATGGTTAATAGCATGCAAATACAGAATCAACAATATTAATTAATTACAGTCTAAAAAATCTTTTACGTCATAATAACATTCGGTTTTTAACCAATTAATCAAATGTTTCTTAAATAATCTTTTACTTAATAATTTAAATTCATTAGGTATTTTATTAAATATTTTTATACACATATTTAGGCAACTTTTATTGTATTTAACGATTCTAGGAATAACATCTAGAACTAGTTTTTCTGGGTCTCGTCGGTTTCGGGGATATATATCACGCGCTTTAATAAACAATGACTTATTTTTAAAGACAAACATACTGACTTCATAAATGTATAGTGACGGGAGGGGTAATATACCAAATCTCTTAAATACTGGTTTACAGGAAACATCAGGCGACATCCCGCACATTGCACGTATACATTTTTTTTGGGCAACGAATGCCCTATTTCGGTCAGTACTATTACCCCATATTATGATTCCATAGCGAAGAATAGACTCTACGTATGCATGGTACGTTGCAATTGCCGTCTTAATATTTGTGATGTTTTTAACGATTTTAAGGGCATATACAAATTTATTTATTCTACGACATACGTTATCTATTTGTTCTTTCCAGTTTATATCTTCATCTAACGTTACTCCCAGAAATTTTGTACATGTAAGTTTTTTTAGTTTTGGTATATTAAGTTTAATATTATGATTTGAATTGATAGATTTATTAAATTGTATGTAATGAGATTTTTCTAAATTAATTTTCAAATTATTTACGTCAAGCCATTCTATTAATTTGTCAATTGTATTATTAATGTCATCTTCATGATTCCTAATTGTATTATTATTTTTATTACTAGTCACAATAATTGAAATGTCATCAGCGTATAAAACACATTTATGATTCGTAATGTCAACAATATCATTAATATATAATAGGAAAAGAATCGGTCCTAATATACTTCCTTGCGGAACGCCAAATTTATTATATTTATATCCAGATGAATGAGATGTTAAGTTACTGTTTTTATCTATTTTATCAATGATAACACATTGTTGTCTGTCTTTTAAATATGACGATAACCACTGAAGTATTGGTCCTCTGATCCCAATTGTCTCTAATTTTTGCAATAATATGTCATGTGAAACGCAATCAAAGGCCTTTGAGAGGTCAAAGAATAATCCTGTTGTTAACTGTCTGTTGTTTATGTTACTAAGTATTATTCTTATTAACGAAAACATGGCAAGTGAGGTCGATCTGTGTTTTTGAAACCCGTATTGTTCACTTTTAATTATCTGGTATTTATTACAGTAATCGACTATTCTTTTATACATACATTTTTCAAAGATTTTAGCCAGAATAGGTATTAACGTGATTGGACGATAATTTTGAACATCATCCTTTCGCCCTTTTTTAAATAAAGGTTTTATAATTGACAATTTCAGTGCTTCTGGGAATTTCGCTGATGAGAATGATAAATTTATTAGATGTGTCAAAATTTTAGTTATATTATCAGCACATGATTTTAAAATTTTTGTGTTAATTTCGTCATAAACCTCTGAATTGGTATTTTTTAATGATAGTAGTTCTATTTTAACTTCATTTTCTGTCATTGGTCTTAAATACATCGAATTCACTCTTGAATTTCTACTTAAATCATATTTTTTATTTAAATTTTGTGTTGAGGTATGGTTAGTGGCCATGTCTATAAAATAATCATTGAAAGCAGTAGCTATTTCTATAGGATTAGACATTATGTTCTTTCCAATCTTAATAGTATCTATATTATCCTTAACTTTCGGGTTATGAATTTCATCTTTGATAATTCTCCATGCTGCCTTGCATTTGTTGTTACTATTATTCATATATTTAATATTATCAATTTGTTTGGATTTATAAATACACTTCTTTAAAATGTTTGAATAGTTTAAGTAGTTAATTTTATTTCGTGTATTTTTTGTTTATAGTATGTGTATCGCAAGACCCGTTTAGTTCGAGAACTTTTTTTTTAACCCTTGACTTATCCAGTTTTTTTTGTGCAACTACTGTTTATTTTTAATTTTATTTTTGGTAAGCATAAATAATAAAAAAGACATATCAATTCGTGAAAAGCGTTAAAGGCCTTATTCAGGTCAGTTTCCACATAAATTTCATACCACGATAAGTTTTGTAGACATTCTTTGAATTTTTGAATATGTTCTAATTTATAATCTCTCTTAAAGATGTTATAAGATGATGCCGATGTTAGCTTATTTATTACTGGAAAGGTTAACATTTGTGCTGTGTTATGGTCCTAGAGATGAAGTGGTAATATAGTTGCTGTCGCGTTTGGAATATTACTCAGTATGTGGTCTATACACGATAACTTTCGCGTAGGAGCGTTGATATGAATTTTTAAGTTGTAATTGTGGCAAAGTTCTTGTAACTCACAAGAAAATTTACCTTTTTTTTTAATGTATTTATGTTTATGTCTCCTGCTAAAACTATGCGCTTCTTAGTGTTATATTTTGTTACTAAAGTATAAAGTAAGTTGTCCAATTTTTTTAAAAAAAAGGCTAGGATCTGATTGCGGTGTTCTATAAAGACATATTATTATTAATTTATTTGCTGTAATTTGCTGTATTTGCTGTTCGCATGCCGATACTTTTGTCAAAATAAATATTAGTATTTTGCCACAACTTCTTGAGTTATATACAATTTTAAGAATTAATATTGCTCATAAAGTATTATTAGAGCTCCATGTCATCGAAGATAATCAAAAAATCTATAAAGGAATATGTTGGTAAGTTCTGGGCGATTTCAAATTTCAATCATCTGCGTGAAATACTCTCTGGGAAAATTTATCTGTTATATACATACAGACAAACATATAGACGACGAAATGATCGTAGAGCATTGAAATTGTCGCCGTTGTGAATTTTGTAAGAACATGTTTTTTACAGTTTATGGATCAGTAGAACAAATAAGATAATATAATCGATATAATATATCGATTAAGAAATATATAATCGATATATTCTCTCAATAATGTAGATAGAATTAACTACAGCTACTACACTAATTTTTCATATTGTTGTAGGCTACCCATAGGGGTATATGGGGTTTATAATATGAACGCCACTAATGATCTTTTATATATCGCTTTAATTGTGAATAGGATTGCATTATATGACTATAATCTTTGTAACACATCACAAAAGCAGGTGAAAAAATTAGCATCACAAATGTGCAAAAGTATATTGCCCATACGAACGCATAAAGGGAAGAGAAAACCACAAAATGCCCCAAAATTACCTGGGTTCAGTCTCATATATTATCTCAGATATTAACGTAATATTTATGTCACAGAAAATTGTTTGTTACATTAATGTGGTGTATTTATTTTGCAGCCTTCAGAATGTCGTCAGAAGGCTTTACAGAGAACGAAGTGGACGCCATGCCGGACCGCATCGCTGAGACCTTCAGCGGCATGAATATTTTTATCACCGGAGGAACTGGATTTATGGGAAAGGTCTTAGTGGAGAAGTTGCTAAGGTGAGTTAGAGAATTTTTATCTATATTATTTATAATATAAGAATAATAAGTTAGGTGATTGCTGCAGGTCATGGATATATTTTAAAAGAACGCAAGTTACAACTCACATTCTATAGTTTTATACTATTCATACTGCAAATAAGTAGGGAAGCTAAACTTACTAAGCTCACCAAAAGCTAAACTTACTAGCTAAGCTTACCAAGTAGCTTTGAATATTTTTAATATCAGTGCCATAGGAGTCTGCTATAGGAAAGGTTGGAAACACCTCTTGTTCTTCAACAGATGGAGGTATAATATCTCGTGTATGACAGATGTACAATCTCCAGGCTGACAACCTGATTTGTTACGCTGCTTACGCTAAAGACACCTGTTAAATATTCCCAGTTCTAATTTATAGACCTAGTAACTACTACAACAATTGCTTCTATAGAAGAAATAGCTTCAATCAATCATTTCAATCAATTTGTACGTGGCAGAGACACGCTACAGCTATATATTATGTTTGTATCACGAATGGGTTGGCGCGACTGGGGTGGAACAACGCTCTCACGGAATACCAGCGTATTAATGTTGCTATATTTTTTATAGAGAGTGTAGAGAGTCGAATACGCTTTTTACTGAAAACGAGGCATTCCATATTAGTACTCAGGGCAAATGCTGACGAAGTTGACGACGCATCTGCATTTTGATTCTAAATTGAAGTTAAATGTAGATATCTATGGGCTACAGTACCCACTAACTATCAGGTGGACTGTGTGCCCGTTTGTCATCCTTATTCTATATAAAAGCAGGATTGTTACAGGCTAATGTAAAAGTAGAAGTTTTATAATTAACATCGATACTTACTTTCTCCTCACCAGCCTGTAACATTTCATATCTCGGACTTCTATTATAAGAAGGATTTTTACCTGATGGTAACTCGATGTTTTGGTTCATTGACACCAAAATCGATTCTCGATTAAGATTGTTACCGTAGATTGTTAAAAGGTTTTCAATTTTCAACTAACTTCAAAACAAGGTAAAATATAAAAATTGTTACAAACAACTTTAATATAAATAAAATGAACATCATCAATGAAGTCAGAGCCAATTAAATACTCTAAAATTCGTTTTAAAAAGAGGAGTTTCTCCATTCTACAATTTCTTTTTACCTCAGAAGTTTTTTCTAGGTAAACTGATTTCAATGATTCTTTTATTTTTATTTTAAAGCTGATGCTTCTCATGTGATCTCATATAGATTTGATCAAGATCTGACCAGTAGTTCTATAGTTTTCCTTAATAATTCATATTTAATTGATTTCGACTACATTAATGATGTTCTCATTTTGTTTATATAGAAAGTCGATTGTATATAATTTTTAATTTTATCACTTGTAATCACTTACCATATGAATCGAAACAGCTTTATGCTGCTGTTTTACGCTGGTATTCTGGATGAGTGTCCAGCCGGTGGTTGAGCTGATGTCAAGGCAATCCATTCATTCTGTCGCTGCACATATAAAATGCTCTTAAATTCAGGTATTATTTATGTATACGTATATGTTTGAATTTTATTTCTAATTTTGTAAGTGCTACACAATGTTAAAATACATGCTTTCGTTTTTATGTCAACATTGCATGTAAAATTTTAACTATGTTACAGAAAGTGCCACGATATTGGAAAAATAATACTTCTTGTGCGCGCGAAGAAGGGCAAGAATCCAAGACAGCGACTTGAGGAAATGCTCAATGATGAAGTAAGCTAATCTGTGTATTTATAATTATAATAATATTAAAGTTTTATTACAGTGTAACTTTTCAAGTTTCAAGTAAGTTCGTTTAAGTCTTTTGTATTGAGATGCGACTTTATTATAATATTGACTCATTAAAATTTCTATAAAAACAGTGTTTAAGGCTTTACCTCTAGCGAACGACCTTGAGCGTTTGGCCTGCCGACGCTCTCGCTACAATATATCGCGTAGAAATCTGCAAGACGCCACCTACTGGTACGAACGTAGTATTAATTTATCAATGTCAATGAACTATTTTATGGAAATAGACACGGCAGACAATGATATTATGTGTATTTTAATTTTCTTTATTCGGTATATTAGTTGCATTATATTAGAATTATGTATTCTCATATATTATCTAATTAATAAAAATGACTATTTCGATTATTTTTAACTATATACAATACTGCTAATATTGAATTAGCTTTTTATAGAGTAAATTATAATATTTGTCGAAATGTTAATTATGGATTCGAACTTTACATGCTAATGGTGCTTCATTTTTGTTATTTTCATTTACTTACATATTGAAAATATACTTGAATAGTAGGTATTATTATTTTATTTAGCTACTGAATTTTAGGATATGTTTTACCTTGAGGTCAAATAGGTATAATTTTGAGGAGCAATAGTTATTACCTACTAATCTTTTATCTGCTATTCCTTATTTAGGAATAATATTAGTAAATTGAGTTTGAGGGAGATTTACTGTTTATAATGCTACATTTATTATTTTAATATTTACTGGGTAATACTACTGGGTAGGTAATTATTAAAATAATAAATATAGCATTAGTAACTAAATAGATATTTTTTACCCAATTACACTAACTAATGAGATATTGTGATTATTTGTGATTAGTAATACTGGGTGGGTATTAATAAATAGAACAAAATAAAATATAAAGTCAATTTTATTATCTTGAATGTAGAAATTGATTACAAATTTTTTAACTTCCTTAAATTACAAACAAACAGCTGCAGCTATTAAATGAACACATATATGCATACATACGCCCATATATATAAGTGGTTATATATATATATATATATATATATATATATATATATATATATATATATATATATCTCATCTGGTTCGGTTCTATAAATATTTAAATATATAAAAATTATAAATTAAAATGAAAAGATAAATATACATAAATATCAATAAAATAAAATAAATAAAAATAATATTATATTATTATTGTTATTATGGGGGATCAATATAGTTTTCTCATCTGGTTGGGTTCTATAAATATATTGTTACGAGCTTGAGGTTCGTGACAATAAAAATTGCCGATAAAATTACCTAAATTAACACTTTAATTTACTTTACACAATTTAAAACTTAAAACACTAATAATTAAACACACTACTTCACTTCACTTTATTCCGCTTCGAAGCTTCGCTTGTCTCACCAAATCCAATACTGCCCCGATCGCATCTTGCAGCGCCTATATATACAAATTAGCAATGAAGCGTCCGGAATATTCAAGTAAATGCGCGCAAAGCGACGAGTGTTCTTGTGTAGATTTTCTAGAAACTTAGTTCTTCGGATGGCGCTGTCGGTAAAGATTTGTGATGTCATTTTCTGCAAAGCTCCCCCTCGCTCTCGTTCCTGACACTAGATGGCGCTAGTGTATGACGTTGAGCGCGTAACCACTGCCCCCCTCCTAAGACATGCTCGTCCCGAGCATTATCGGCCCCATAATAACGCGCCAGGCGATCCACATGGGCGATCTTAGGAGTCCCTCTTGCGCCTTTCTGTAACGGCTCCGCAATGTCTAGGGCTGTCCTATCCCATGGTGCACCATCATTGCACAATTTCGATGCTCCTCTATTATGTGTCTGAGGTCCCTTCACGGCCGCACAACTTGTACATGTACGACACCAATCCTCGACATCGTCACGACAATGGACCCAGTAAAACTGTTCTCGGACCTTCAGTAGAGTTCGTTTAACTCCCAGATGGACTCTTGAACGACCATTATGGCACAGCTGTAGAACATTCGGCACTTTAGCTTTAGGGACAACCATTTGCAAACGACAGCTGTCTCCTCGACCATTGTCCCATTTACGGCACAGGACTCCATCCTGAAGCAGCAAGCTGTCCCATTGGGCCCAATAGCTTTTCGTGGTTGAACTCATCGCTGAGACGTCCCTCCACTTAGGCTTGGTAGCACGGGCCTTCATCCATCCCAGAATCGGCTTGATGTCCGGATCTTCCTGCTGTGCATGTCGTAGGCTTTCCTTCCACCCGTTGCTGAGGTGGTCTGTCCTGAGCATCCTCACGGATACCACTTCCTTAATCTCTTGCCTACTACAATGGTTGCAATCTTCAGGACAAGGTCTTCTTGTCAATGCATCTGCGTTGCCGTCAGATTTCCCGCTGCAGTGTCTGATATTAAAGTCGTATTCCTGCTGCTGCTGGGCGGTGCTGTTAGCCGCACTTCCTTTTTGAGACCGTTCACCTTCCCTTCCCAGGGTGTGCTTAGGGCAGCTGGATCGAAGATGGCCCCTTTCCCCACAGCCATAGCACCTAGGGCTGTATCTTTTATTGTGGTCGCGAACCGTAACTGCTGTAACCTCCCTAGCGTGAGGTGAACGATGATCCTGTCGCCGCCAGGCAGTGCCGTGAGCTGCACTACCCTCTCGAGATCGATCAACTCTCCTTTCCACGGTTCGCTTAGGGCAGCTGGATCGAAGATGGCCTTTTTCCCCACAGCCATAGCACCTAGGGCTGTATCCTTTGTTGCGGTCGCGAACTGTAGCTGCTGCAACCTCTCTGACGCGATGGGAGCGATGATCCTGCCGCACGGCTTCTACCTCCAGTGCATGGGCCAAGGCGTCCTTAAGCGTGTCGTGGTGCCCGAGTCTCACAGCAACTCTGACTTCAAGGTCGCGGATGCCGTCGATGAATGTCTGAACCAGGTTCCCTTCAATGAGCGCAGGTACAGACTGGTATGCTTTTCGAACCATCTTCTCCATCTCAAGGGCCCACTGCTGCAGGTTTTCGTTGCTGCGCTGCACGCGATCTTTAAGCTGCGCGCGAAAGACGTGTTCCAGGTGAGCGTCGCCATATCTCGCTTCCAAGGCCTTAAGAAGCTGCTCGTAGGTCACTTTCTTACCGAGAGCTTCCAACACAGGTAAGGCTTGGTCGCGCAGGCCTACGGTGATTGCAGTCATGGCTTGGCTTTTATTCCAGCCGTTCGCCTCCATAACGGCTTCGAACTGGATTTTGTAGGCCGACCAGGAAGAGGTCCCGTCGAACGGCGGCACTTTGAATCCACGTAGCGAAGGTGTTGTAGCTACTACGGGAGCTGTTGTTCCATCCCCAAGTTTGAGGTCGTCCAGCGTTTTCTTCACGTCAGCCATTACGTTGTCAATCCGATTGTTTACTTGGTCGATTCGGGTTTCGACCTCCAACAGGCGGTTGTCATGTTGAGCAACCTTATCCTTCACCTCCCGTATCTCTTTTCCGAAGATAGCGTGAAGGTCCTTCATGAGGAGCATCTGCTCTTCCTTATCGCGTTGGAGTTGATCTTCTAAACGACGGGCCTGTTCCTCCTGTCCGCCCCGCAGCTGCTCTTCCAATCGGCGGGCCTGTTCCTCCTGTCCGCGCTGCAGCTGCTGCAGCATCACCATCAGAGCACCTAAGTCAGGTGCCACAGACGTAGAAGCTGCTGACGGGCCGGCTTCCATGGCCGGCGGCTGGCCCTCAGACATCTGCGGCGTTGCACCACCAAATCTCCTCTGGTCCATCTCCTGCTGGCGTTGACTTCGGGTACGGATACCCTCCATCTCGTCCTTAGGTAAAATCGGCATGATTTTATCCCACTTCTGACACCAATTGTTACGAGCTTGAGGTTCGTGACAATAAAAATTGCCGACAAAATTACCTAAATTAACACTTTAATTTACTTTACACAAATTAAAACTTAAAACACTAATTCACTTTATTCCGCTCCGAAGCTTCGCTTGTCTCGCCAAATCCAATACTGCCCCGATCGCATCTTGCAGCGCCTATATATACAAATTAGCAATGAAGCATCCGGAATATTCAAGTAAATGCGCGCTAAGCGACGAGTGTTCGTAAGTAGATTTTCTAGAAACTTAGTTCTTCGGATGGCGCTGTCGGTAAAGATTTGTGATGTCATTTTCTGCAAAGCTCCCCTCGCTCTCGTTCCTGACACTAGATGGCGCTAGTGTATGACGTTGAGCGCGTAACAATATAATTATAAATGAAAATGAAAAGATAAATATACATAAATATCAATAACATAAAATAAATATTAAAATACATATATAAATAAAAGCCCAACCAGATGGAGGCCCTCGGCAGGGGAGACCAAACGGCCGAGTTTATTATTGTTATTTTTGGGGTATCTGTATAGTTTTCTCATCTGGTTGGTTTCTATAAATATATAATTATAAATTAAAATGAAAAGATAAATATACATAAATATCAATAAAATAAAATAAATACAAAAAAATACACAAATAAATAAAGATCCAACCAGATGGAAGCCCTCGGCAGGGGAGACCAAACGGCCGAGGGTTAGGGGGAAAGGGAAAGAAACCGACGGACGATGCGGGCGGTATCGAGGACCACTGCCTTCTGCATTAGAGCCCGGAGCGGTCCGTCACGGAGTCCCAGTCGCCTCAGATGACCCGAGAGGCTGACTGGGATTAGCCCGTTTGCAGAGACGACTACAGGAATAATTCGGTCGGCAGACCACCCCACATGTCGGTCACCTCGTGAGCCAGGTCCAGATATTTTGTTTGCTTATCTGTTTCGGCTTTCACGAGGTTCTCGTCATACGGAATGGTAATGTCGACCAAAAATATCCTTGACTGTGCCCGGTCCATCAGCACAATATCAGGCTTATTTGCAAGAATAGTCCTGTCTGTGATGATGGCCCGGTCCCAGTAGAGCCTGGCGCGGTCATTTTCGAGCACGG